CCCCCCCCCCCCCCCCCCCCAATACATTGCACCCCTTTGTTAATCAGCCAACTGTTTAAAAATCAGGGGAGCAAAACTTGAAAGATAAATGTTTAACGCCAAAGACATTGTCTAGCATTGATCTAATAGACTATAGAAAAAATTATTCTTTGTAACCGCTACATAGTTCTACTCCCTACTAAAACCTTGGATGCATGGTTAAAACAATATGTTCTGTTTTTTTCTCTCTTACCTTCAATGGTATAAAACTGTTGACCACATGATTCCAATCTCCTCAAATAATTTCTCCAGCTATAGCATCTTTTTAAGTGACCAACTCGACAAATCAATGATTTATAAGAGTAATCTAAAAGATCTGTCTGAATGTATAAGGAAACAGTAATAATAACACTTTTTTTGTTATAAAAAAAAAAAATCATAGACATTACCAAGCTCAACATGCAGTTCCTTGAAACAGATGACGCATCAACAGAGATGAGGCTACTGACTGAAACTTTCTCCTTGACATCATCCTTGCAACATTTGAGGCTTGTTCTGTTGTCATTTCCTTTATCCAAATGATGGGTGATACCATCATCGAGACCAAGTATAATCTGAGTCAGGAAATACAGGCCATCCTTATGAATTCCCTCGGCAGACATATTGAAAAGCTCAAAACAAGCTGCAGTTAAGTTTTTAGGGTAATGAAAAAACAGCCAGAGGAAACTGATAGCACGTAACTTGAAAAGCTTAATCACAGGCAAACTATTTTCATCAGTATATTTCTGCTTCAACTCAGTGAAAAAATCTGCAGAGTCTTGAATTTTAAGAGCTTCTTCATCCACAATCTGAAAGATGTCTTTACCCTCAAAAGATGACACAAAGAAGGTGAAAACATTCTGAAAGACTTCAGAGCAAATGCCTCTGATGACAGATGACGTAGGTGCCTTAGATATTACAGCAGCACAAATATCAACCAACCCAATAATACAAGCCCTAGCTGTCTCAAATGCAACATTATCAACATCCTCCCCATTAGTTATTATTTCCAAGCTCTGATTGTGTATATTGATGATAACTTTTGTTGCAGCTTCAAGAGCAGTTGGACAATGAGGTGCATACCGAGGAATAAAGTCAGCTACAATACGCTTTACACTTGCGCACCCTGCGAATTAACATGCACATGGCAACACAGGTGAGAGACAGCCCCAACAGCAAGAAATATTTTGACCAGGTACATTCTCGGGCAGGCGGTTGAAATTTGACTGAATACCGCTCATTTTTTCACACCAAAAAAAAAAATATAGTCCGTTGATTTCTCAAACTGATTCAAATCCAACACTAAAAATTTTGTCAGTTGATAGACGGGTCATAGGATACTCTGTAACTCAAGGACACTGTTGTACGACCTAAAGAAAAATCCAGTTCAAGAAAGGTCGTAACGGGCCACGGGATACTAGTAGCAGTATGGGGCAAAGTAAATGTAAGAGGTTAAACGGCCCCCACTATGCTTATACTCCCATTTTAATTGATTGTCGAACAGACTTCGTATCTTATTCTACTGGAAATTGAGGGAAGAAATAATTTTAAAGAGTGGAGAAGCATCAGAAAGAAGTCTCCACTGCATGAATATAGATTCAAACGCGTTTAATGTCGTTGCTAATTGTTTGGGGATTCTTGTTAAACATACGAGTGTAAATAGCATCAGCGTCTAACGTCTGGACACGTAGTTGGCTTCAAGTCCATTTCTTGGTGGACAAGAACTATAAACTCTTCAACAATACATGAGTGGCTTCAAATATATAAATTGCTTCAAGGAAAGAAAATAAATCATGATCTGGCACACATAAGAAGCGTTTAAATCAATGTTCTCCACTTCGTAAGTGTTGCGAAGACCTAATTGGACACTAAAGAGATTAAAAATTTGATCCTAGGATACTGAAACGATTCAAAGTGGCAAGGAGGAAGAGAATCAAACACCGACCTCTCGAAGCAGTGATGAGAGAAAGATATGCCTGCTCAATATCAGGTGTGGGAGCGCCCTTCTCTTTCTGGGAGAGGAAAAACCTAATTCGCTTAAAACAGTCATAGACACTTCTAATATCATCTCTGTTCCTTCTCCTGAGGAGGATTTCGGCTTGGGACAGCAGCGGTGGAGTAGGAGGCGGTGGAGCGACGGATGTCTGGTCCAGCGCTAGGGTTTGCGGTGGCTCTGATGCGGGTGGTACGTAGTTCCGGCGCTTCTTGAGAGGCTGCTCCGCCGAAGCCATGGCCCACTGCGAAAAATGAAAGAAGCGCGCGCGGCCTTCAGATACTTTTGATGACAGTTAGGGTAGGAATTCAAGTGCTTCGTTCATTGTTGCCCACTTCGCCTTTCACTCACCGACCATTCTCATCAAAAACTTGTTTAATTTTTCTATTTTTATTTCTACTCATTTTTATTCAATTAAGTTATTGTTGTACTAAACAAAATTATAAGATAAAAAATCGTCATTTTTGTGTAAATATTTATTAAATAAAACGATTAAAAATACTCACATTGTCGTGATCAGTGTCACCATCAGCGACGACAATGTATTCTCTTTTATGGTGCAATCCATTTGCACAGACTGCAAATACCTAAATGCAACTTGCCTTAAAAGACCTTCTCATCATTGATAGTATTACCCTTTTCGTTGTACAATTCGAACGTGTGCACAGAGATATGATCCCAATTACTACGTCCTAAGCCGACCCACCCTTAAATGTCGGCAACCTTTATTATCTTCCAATTTCCAACCATAAATTCTAATATAATAATATTCCTTATTTGATGCACGACTTTGTGGTGGCTTAAGGTTCAACACGTGTCATGACCCAACCTATATATTATTATTATTAAAAAATCATCTAGGGAAAGGAAAATAGCAACGTGGTAATTAATTAACACGTGGGCGATTTAATTGATTTGTAAAATAATGGAGAGGACCCAAATGTAATGTAATCCTTCTTCGTTGAATAATGTCATATAATACAAGCCCTTCTTATTGATATTTTATAAAGTCCAATCATGTTTATCAAGCATTTAATTTAATTTAATTATTGTACCGAAATAATAGTTTTGCATATGAATTGAAGTGTTGGTTAATTCTTTTATTGGGAGTTTATTGTTTAATTGCGTGTAAAATTAAAAGATCTCAGTATTTGGAAAGTTGGTTAAGAAATCAGATAGAAGAAAACCCACGTGTTGTGGAATTGAAAAGCAGAAGAGGCAAATGTACATCGCGTGAAGCTGCGGCGGCCGCAGCGCATTCGGCACTTTACAACGTCTACCAGTATTCCCACGACTTTAATTTGCTCCAATTGGCATAAGCTAGCCGATGTGGGACTGGAACTGTCATGCTTTTGTGAAATAGCACCCAAAGAACACACAGAAACAAGGCCACTGGATTGGTTAAATTAGTTTGGGGGAGAAAAAAACCGGTGATGTTTATTATATTTGTTGGGGATAAGAATGGAGTGATGATGATGAGTAGGCGATGACAGCAGCCAAGCATTAGCATACCACGTGTAAATCTTTATTCCGACTCACCAATATGGACGTCACCAACCCCTCCTACTTGGAATATTTATATTTCGAGTTGTTAATTCCACAGAGGCTGCTGCTTCTCCCCATTTTACAGTCAAAGGAAGCAAAAGAGAGAGGAAATAAGGGGAGTTTCTGGGAACGTGGGGGTGCGGTGTGAATGGAGGCGGTGAGTGTTTTACCAAATGGCAGCGTTTTAAGGGAAGTGGGAGAAAGAGTTGTAGTAGTCAAATTGTAGAGGTTTTAAAAGCAAGTGAACTTCCCCCTCCCCGCAATTTATTCCGATGTGCAGGGCATGGTATTAGATAATTGATGCCTTTGACAATGGATAATTATCATCAATTTTTTAAAGGAACCACTCCTTATCCACTTGTACAGATTTGGCTAAAATTAGACCAAATCCACAAGCAGAACACAACAGCGCCACAACCGCCACAATACCCCCACCACGCTTGCCTGCCTTCCACTCGTTTTCATATTCACATTTCCCACTTAATTAAGCAATCACTAACCTCACTAATCCTTTAACGAACGCCACCGTTTCATTCTTTTTAATGGACGTGGGATCTTAAGTCGTGGCTTGCTCCATTTGACTTGGAAGGTGGAATGGTATTGCAGTTGAAGTGTAAAAGTATCTCACTCACTCAGTTGCAGCAACCTTCCAAACTCTTCTCTTTTATTCTAGTTTGGAGTTTGACCCAACTGGGTCTTCCTTGGCCACCAACGAAACCAGTGATGTCTTCAAATTTATATTCTTCTTGGCCATCTTTTATTACATTCTCACCACTTGTCACGCAACTTCCTTCCTCTTCCTCTTTATCCTTCTTTATAAACCCATCATCTTCTTCTCTTACTCTTATCACTCCAAACCACTTCCAACCAATTCCCCACATCAAGAACTCTGCTCTCTCTCTCTCTCTTCTTCTTCCTTTGCAGCTGCTGTTTAATCCTCTGAATTTCATCTATCTCTGTCTCTAATGGCTCTTGAAGCTCTGAATTCTCCCACAACTCCATCGCCGGCGCTTCACTACGACGACCCGAGTCTCAATTCGTTGGAGTCTTGGTCTAAGAGGAAGAGGACCAAGCGTCCGCGGGGATTCGACAACCCTCCAACCGAGGAGGAGTATTTAGCGTTATGTCTCATCATGCTTGCTCGAGGCGGTGCCACCGCCTCTGACCCTGACCACCGACTTGCCTATGAAATTCCGATTCCGGCTCAGCCCATATCCGTTGTTAAACTTAGCTACAAGTGCTCTGTTTGCGACAAGGCGTTTTCGTCTTACCAGGCTTTGGGTGGACATAAAGCGAGTCATAGAAAATCAGCTACAGGGGAAGACCACTCCACTTCCTCCACCATAACCACTTCCGCCACCGCTACCACCGCCGTCGGTGGGGGTAAATCCCACGAGTGCTCTATTTGCCACAAGTCTTTTCCCACCGGCCAGGCCTTGGGTGGCCACAAGCGTTGCCACTACGACGGCGGAATTGGCAGCAACAACAACAACAACAACAACCACAACCAAACACACAGTCACAACAACAACCACACCGTGACATCGTCCGAAGGAGTTGGGTCGACCCACACACAGAGCCACAGCCACCGGGACTTCGACCTCAACCTCCCCGCCTTGCCGGAGCTATCTCCGGGATTCTTCAACTCTTCCGGCGACGAGGAGGTCCAAAGCCCATTACCTGTGAAGAAGCCTCGAATCTTAACAATTCCCAAAATCGAAATCACTCGGACATAATCTTAGGGGAAAAGAAAAGCAGAATTTGTTTGGATTTGTTTGTTTAGTAGATGATTTGTTTTTGTGTAAAAAGAAAATAGGAAGTTTGTTCTACTCCTCTGCCCACTATTGTACCTGTAGTCAATCTCCCAGAACTAATTCAATTGATTATTTTTTCATATTCGTTTACTAATTCATAAACGATAAATTAATGGCATTGACGTTAAATAATGGTAATAGTAACAATAAAGCATCCAAATTCAAAGCACGCAAGGAATCGGCATCATGAATGTATGAAGATGGGGCGTTGGCGACAGGCGATGTGGGGGCATCGTCTAATGGTCAAAACTTAGAAGGAACAACTCAACTAAGTACCGAGCCAACTAAACTACTTCGTGATGCCACCATGAGCATAGCAATCTCATCCACCTTCAAAGCTAAGCTTGCTTGGATGTACTTATCGATTAAGATAATTATCCTTAGACATCCATAGATTCATACTATTGAGGCTGTTTATCTATGTCGAGTCATTTTTGTGCACCATGCTGCCTCCCAATCTTATAACAGAGCAACTCGTTGGTGCTCTTGGACAGTGTTCTTAGAATCTCATTCTCCAAGGAAGATGCAATGCTTGCATATGCCATGACATACACATGTGCATGAGGTGGCTCACGGCTAGCCGTGAGGCCGAATAGAACCAAATATCATGTCTCCCGTATACTACATTTTAAGACATTTGATTTAGCAATAATAAGAAATTATACACAAGTGCAGAAGTTAGTTTGGAGTACAATTGACACAAAATTGGGTGAGCTTACGTCCTTTCACTTGTACGAATTTCTAAAGCAACTTGTCAAAAATGAATGAAAATTCTGACTTTCGATAATCTAGCTTGGGGCTCATATACCTCTATCAAGTGTCCAACCGCTAGCAAATATTGTCCCCTTTGGATTTTTAGGGTGGAGCGAGAAGATGTTTACGTACCCTTATAAAGAATGGGTTGTTCGCTTCTCCAACCGATGTAGGATCTTACAACTTCTATCTTATTTCTTAGTCACATCACGATACTTCTATTGATCCGTGAAATGGGTGGAGGATAACATTCATGTGAGTACTCTTTGGTGCAGCATTTGCAAGCAATGGATGGGTGATGATAGAGTTGGGTTTAGCATGAGGGACAACGCTAAGGCCGTTCAATTAGTGCTTGAAGATGTGTTTGGATTTTTGTCCAAATGGGTAACGCCAACGCGCAGCTTTATTAGGCGTCTTACATGTAATTCGGTTGGGCTGGCAAATTCTGATTTTGCCACGTTTCCAAGTAATGGAAGGAACCCATAACATATTTTATAATTTTCCAATAAGGAACGATCTCATCCGGTGCTAACCCATTTCCAAGCAAAGCCACCACCGCGTCCGGAATATTCTCGACCCACATCAGTTGCGCCTTAAAGCCAGCTAAATGGTCTTGATTTTGACACCAAGTGCGTGCGCGGTGAAGAACGGGAAGAACACAAGGACTGACTTTGTCAGATTGTGTGTGAAAGTTGAAGCTTTGAAAAGTAGGCTTAGCGTGTGGGGCGTGGAGCTTGAATGCTTTGACCCAATCTTGAAGTGTTTACATTTACACGAAATATAGAAGAGAAAAAGTCAAGTATGGAGAATCGAGCGAGTCTTTTAAGTGGTTTGAGGGTCGCCACCGGTGGGAATTTAGAAATGTTGGTGTGGGGGCAATGGATTTTAAAATGGGATCGGCCGACCACTAGGCCATTCAAGTGGCTGATGAGGTAATGAATGACGATGAGCCACCACCGGCCACTAGGGAGGAGGCGGAAGTGTGGCTGAGGGTTTGTCAATATCAGGTGTTTGAGTGAATTGAGAAGGCATACAAAGGGAGTTTCTACAACTCATAATAGATGTAACCACCCACTTTCCACATGGCTAACATGTCAAAGCATCCCCTTATTTTTATATTTTGATACCATTATCCTTCATTATATACTATTGACGTGTGTATAACAAGCCGAGAATATGAGTATATAGCTATCTATTATAAAGTCACTAAACATGCATGTCTTAATCAGTTAACTTATTATCATGTTGTTGGAAACCAAACAATGAGTTCATATTTTGGGCCGAGAATATGAGTATATAGCTATAAATTGTGTTCCAAAGTTTGGGCCCAAACAATGAGTTCATATTTTGGGCCTAAAAGGTGAGTGAAACCCAAATGATCCAAAGATGTGGTACCATTCAATCGCGTGGAGGTCCAATGTCATAGCTGGCACAATATTTGATGTCGGGCTCTTATATCATTTATAACAGTCTAAACCTTTTAATTAATCACCTGAGTTGAGATAGTAGATGATTGAGGATTTGTAGAGGTGGACTTTAATGGTTTTGAAAAGAGCGATATGAATGGTAAAGCATCCAATAGAAGCTTTGGTGGGAACTGTTTGTTTTCATTTTGAAGCAGTTTTTGAAACATAAGTGACTTAGTTGGTCTAACTGTTTGAGGCAAAGGCCCTCCATTGCCACCATTTTTATACATAATTCTTCACAACTTTCCAACCCCACCCATTCTTTCTTATGCTTTTCTTGGAAACATTGGATAAAGCTCAGCTTTGTAGATAATATATAAGAACAGTGTTGTTGGACGGTTAATTTAGGGAATGGTCATGGGTTTATAATCTAAGAATACACTCTTCATTGGAATGAGGCATTTTGGGAAGCCCAAAGCAAAGCCATGAGAGCTTATGCTCAAAGTGGACAATATCATACCATTGTGAGGAGTCGTGTTCGTCTAACATGGTATCAGAGCAACGGGCAAAGCCCGCGTCGACCTTTTATCTAATAAATGCATCCCTTCCAGAAGTCGGGGTTTATCTAACATGGTATCAGAGCCATGCCCTAAACTTAGCCGTGCCAATAGATTGGCAAATCCTCAAATGTCGAACAAAGGACTCCAAAAAGGAGTCAAGCCTCCTTGAAGGTACGAAGGCAGTCAAAAATGACTAAGACTCCAAAGGAGTCAAGCCTCAATTAAGGAGAGGCGTGCTTTGTTCGAGGGGAGGTGTTGGATGGTTAATTTAGGGAATGGTCATGGGTTTATAATCTAAGAATACACTCTCCATTGGAATGAGGCATTTTGGGAAGCCCAAAGCAAAGCCATGAGAGCTTATGCTCAAAGTGGACAATATCATACCATTGTGAGGAGTCGTGTTCGTCTAACATGGTATCAGAGCAACGGGCAAAGCCCGCGTCGACCTTTTATCTAATAAATGCATCCCTTCCAGAAGTCGGGGTTTATCTAACATGGTATCAGAGCCATGCCCTAAACTTAGCCGTGCCAATAGATTGGCAAATCCTCAAATGTCGAACAAAGGACTCCAAAAAGGAGTCAAGCCTCCTTGAAGGTACGAAGGCAGTCAAAAATGACTAAGACTCCAAAGGAGTCAAGCCTCAATTAAGGAGAGGCGTGCTTTGTTCGAGGGGAGGTGTTGGATGGTTAATTTAGGGAATGGTCATGGGTTTATAATCTAAGAATACACTCTCCATTGGAATGAGGCATTTTGGGAAGCCCAAAGCAAAGCCATGAGAGCTTATGCTCAAAGTGGACAATATCATACCATTGTGAGGAGTCGTGTTCGTCTAACATGGTATCAGAGCAACGGGCAAAGCCCGCGTCGACCTTTTATCTAATAAATGCATCCCTTCCAGAAGTCGGGGTTTATCTAACATGGTATCAGAGCCATGCCCTAAACTTAGCCGTGCCAATAGATTGGCAAATCCTCAAATGTCGAACAAAGGACTCCAAAAAGGAGTCAAGCCTCCTTGAAGGTACGAAGGCAGTCAAAAATGACTAAGACTCCAAAGGAGTCAAGCCTCAATTAAGGAGAGGCGTGCTTTGTTCGAGGGGAGGTGTTGGATGGTTAATTTAGGGAATGGTCATGGGTTTATAATCTAAGAATACACTCTCCATTGGAATGAGGCATTTTGGGAAGCCCAAAGCAAAGCCATGAGAGCTTATGCTCAAAGTGGACAATATCATACCATTGTGGGGAGTCATGTTCGTCTAACAAGTGTGACCCATTTGCAATAAACTCCAGCAAATTAGAACACATAATACTTTAATATTTCCTATAAATTAATTGTTCTGACCGCAACCGGCTCCCTCGGTTCCCTGTTTGAACTCCACTCCACCACTTGCGTCTCATTTCTTGTTCTTCCGACAAGCTTTAATGTTTTTTTGTCATTAAAAAATAAAAAAGTTAGGAACACAAATTTGCTCCTTCAACCCATTGAGAGACACTTTTTAATAATCGGTAGCTTCTGACTTTTTAGTTAAGAATATATGTCAGAGTTGCATACCAAACGAAGATGTAAAAACTTTTTTCTTGCATATACGTCTTAAAACCGTGAGACTGACGTTGACAGTGAAAAATATTTGCTAGCGATAATCTTAAATGTTTACTTTATTTTTATTTAGTACTATAATTATATAAATATGAAGATTTTAACGAAAAGGGTTGGTTGGAATTAAATTATACTAATGTTTGTTGGTTTAGTTGGTTAATTTATGTTTAAAATATGTTTTGTTTAAGATTGTTGAATGCATTTATAAATTTTTAATTTTGGGTTCAATGAATTAAATTTGAAAAATTATTTCATATATTAATAATTCATTTTTTTTTAAGAATTAAATGACGTGTTAAATATAATATTTAAAAGTGTTTTTTAGAATCTAAATATTCACCTTTTGAAATGAATAAAATATACTTAAAAAAAAATAGTTGAATGGTGAAGTTGAAATAATATATAAATGAATTTCTGAATGGTTGAGGTGGACGATCCGAGGGTTGAGATTAATTTGGAGAAGCAAAGGAAGGGGGAAGAAGGAGTCGCGGAAACACGGAGCCGCTCTCACGCTCAGAGTTTGGAAGATAATTCCCGAATGTATGTGGGGACCACGGGGCCCACATATTTTACAAAAAAGTCCACAGTCAACACTCTGACATCAAACTTAACCACAGTTACTTTCCTAACTCCAACGCCATTTCAGATTCTTTTAAACACCCTCTGCTTCTGCTTCCGCTTCCCAACGCTCCACCACCTCGCCTCTTCTCAACCACATTATCGTTGCCTTTGCTTCCTTATAAGAATCGCGTGTGATTTTATTAACAATCGGAGAATGAGTTGCAACGGTTGCAGAGTGCTTCGAAAGGGATGCAGTGAAGCTTGCGTTTTAAGGTCAAGTCTTCATTGGATCGACTCGCCGGAAGCCCAAGGCAACGCCACCTTATTTCTTGCTAAATTCTTCGGCCGCAGTGATCTCTTGTCCTTCATCTCCGCCGTTCCCCATCATCAGAGATCCGGTACACATATTTCTTTCTTTTTTTTTCTTTTTACTTCCGAAATGAACTCTTAGATAACCCTGTTCTTGGTTTTTTGAAGCTCTGTTTCAGTCTCTGTTATTCGAAGCTTGCGGCCGTACGGTCAACCCGGTGAGTGGGGCCGTTGGGCTGTTGTCGAGCGGGAATTGGCATGTCTGTCAGGCGGCGGTTGAGACGGTTCTTAGGGGCGGAGTTCCCCGGGAAAACCTCGGAATCGAATTTTCTGGGAATCCCACGGCGGAGACAGAATCCTCTCTCAGTTTGAATACGGATGTTTGGACCAGCACCACTCAGAACATTCAACTTTACCCTTCTAGTCAGTTCGATTCCCGGCGACTTTCCGATCTCAGTCTTGCCACTGGCAAGGGAAAGACCCATCCATTGGAGAATCGACGCTCTCTCGATTCAGAGGAGTCGGTGATGACTAGCTTTGGAAGCGCGGATCATAGAGACGGCGACCGGCGGAAAGAGAGGAAGCTTTTAAACTTATTCATCTGAAGAGAAAAAACAAAGCGAGGAATTTTGTTTGAGATTAGTGGGGGGACGATGGCGGTGTAGAAGTGAGGACAGTGAATAATCCAATGAGTTTTAATAATCAGTTCGTCGGAATGGACCGTCGTAGTGAATTTTGTTCCGGCGCCGAAAACACCGGTTAGTTTTTGGGACTAATTTATCCCTCTTTTTCTTAATTTAGTGAATAATGGACAAAATGATAATATTTGGAACTGTGAAGGCATTGGGAGTGTAAATACATACCCAATAAAAACAAAAAGATTGGAGTCGGTTCATGTTTGTATACATTCTCGTTTTCAAATTTAAAACGCAACCTATTCTATAAGTTAAAACATACGGAAAAACCTCGTATTGTTCTATACAGGAGTATTAGGATTTGTCCTAATGTGAATCCTAGACCTAGGTTGTTACAAATGATATAGCAGTTAGAATGGAATAACTAATTTTTTTTTAAAAGAATTGAAAGACTGCCTATACTAATCAGATGTATTTTTACAATAAAATATTGTAAGTGCACAGGTGATTCAATCATAAAATATGTTTAACATATACGTGAGGAAAGGTAAAGTTTGCCGTGAGAATAGTGTTTGCACTTAAAAAGCCATGGAAGGAATATAGATTTAAAAACTATATAAACTATTATTTTGAGTAAACTAACAATGCTAACTATCAGAAACGCACCAAATATGAGTCACAAATTGAATTGGTTTTGCTTTTCATTTTATTTAATCTTTTTTATGATTGATTGGAAGGAGCAACTAAAATTCTGTCGGTGTCGATTTTTGAACGATAATTTTAACAAAAACTAAAATAATAAATAGAACTAATTAAAATATAGGCTCGGCACAAACTCATATGGTTCGATTTGACAAAGTCCATCAATCCACTCCGATTATGCCAAGTGGACAATCCTGCGTCCCATATTGTCAGTGGATGATAATTACACGATTAAAGTAGTTACTTCAATTTTATATATTTTCATGTGACTCACTCTTCTACCCTACAGAAAACTTCTCAAATCATAATTATTTCTTCATTGATTTTTTTAATAATAAAAAAGTGGGCTTTTATTATTTTATTATTTTTAAAAAAGAAAAAAGGGTGCGGTGCACGTCAGCATGGCCCACCAGACACTGGAAGTGGGTTCCACGGCATTATCACCACCAAGCACCCATTCGGCGATTCCGATTGTTTTTGTTTTTAGTTTCGACAAAAGGCAAAGGGGCAAAGGCAAAGCAGATGATGACACCAAAAACAGTATTAAAAAAATGAGCTGAGCTGCTTATTCTAACTTCTATTGTTATAATTGTATTAATATACATATTCAAGCATTCTCATCCATCCATTCGCTTCGCCGCGTAGTGCGCCAAATGCTTACGTACTACTATGCCCACCATTTATCTTCCCTCAGAAGCGGGGAAGAATTCGTTTGGATTGGTGTTGTATTGTATGAGACGAATTCATGAATGCACTGTATCATAGTCATGCTTGTCTAAAACGTGTTAATACACTACACCCACCCCATCAGTTTTTCTAGAGTGTCGAAAGCACGAAGGGAAGAGGAAAGTGTACCTGACTGACTCATCGATGTACTTGAATGCATTTATGAGCCGATCTCTTTGACTTTCTTGTCAGCCAGCAGCCATAGCACGCCATCTTTGTTAGGTTCTTCTTCCTTGTCTTCCTTTTCTTTCCTGAACAGTTCATAATGCATGAAAAACGCAAGTAAAAGCAGAGTTTGGTCTGTGGGGGGCTTACACTAACACTAACACAACAACACAAGTTACAGAGCAGAAGAGAAAATCATGCCCCTTCCCCCAGTCGCAGTCTCAAGATTCCATTCCAATCACAATTAAGAATTATGATGAGATCTCCACTCGGAATCTAAAGCCTTCTGAATATAGTTAGCTAAATGTGATGTCGTGTCGTTTTCATTGATGTGAAGTACTACCGCATACACTTCACCCTCTACTCATGACTCATAGCATTGCACGAGGTCATATCCACTTTTTTGACCACCTATGCAAACTTATCATCATAAAATTCAATTCTTGATTCCCACTCAATCACATTTTGTTTTGGAGTGAGCGAGAATTCAGGCAAAGAAACAGATGCCATTCCGTTCTTTTAGGAATTTCATTCAAAATTCCATTATCATATTGATTTGAAGTGTAGAAAATGTGAGGAAGGGCAGATAACCATATGAAGAAACCAGACTAGACAGCACAATAAAAAGAGCACACCAATGCATATTTTGGACCTGTACACAAATTAACTTCACATCAAGGACAATCCCTGCTGCTACATATACACGCACATACACAATACTCAATTTTCCAGTAAACAAACCAAAGCGCAATCGAATATATGGACACTCTTCTGCTTCCCGAAACCCAAAAACCAAAATATCCTCGAAAGGAAGGGGTTTGATCTTCTGATATAGAGTTAGCTATCAGACAGTCAACAGTGAACAGCTTTTTCATGTAAGTTGACAGGTTGAAGGTACGTATCTCCGCTATAAATCCAAGTTCCTCTATCCATTTTCATCACAAACATAAAAAAGCTGACTGCGAACATAAAACTAAATTTCACGTAGTAATAGGAACTCCTTGAATGTCGAGTAAAATTTCCAAATAGTAAATAGTACAGAAATTCATGTTCCACAAATATGAGAAAATAAAAGGAAAATAGAACGTCCCCTATGGTGTAGATATATGGGTATAATTGGGTGTTTTTCCAGAGCTAGGTGCACTCGTCAACAGACTAAAACAAGAAAATTCCTTCTCTGCGCCAACAGAGCAAGATCCATCAAACCAAATCTAGAAGCCTGTAACCCCCACGGCTATATTGTCCTCTTTACCTTCAAAAGTTTTAAAACAAATGTGTTAGGGAGAGATTTCCACACCCTTATAAAGGATGTTTCGATCTACTCTTCAACCGATGTGGGATCTCACATAAACGTTTTAATGCCCGAGGTCATCCTAGATGTACAGTACAATGCTGGTTAATTCATGCTAATCGACCCAAACTCATAAAGCTACACCTGACAATTGGAGAATCATACCGAGTAAAGGTACATAATTAGAGATGAACTTGGTTTCTCAAGAGTATGCACCTTCCTTATTCTAAACAGGGTTTGTTGTAAGCAATCTATTGAGCGAGTCACTTCAATTTTCCCCCTTAAGAAATGTCAAATTCTTCATTCGTTAAATGTTGTAGTCAGATCAACTACTGGTGAGGGAATTATCAAAAGTGCAAGACAACCCTGCTTAGAAAAATGAAGGTGCATACTCTTGAAAAAACAAAATTTTGTTCAACTGAAACAACTGCAAACAAATAAACAAATCCAGTCCTAAGAACCATTTTCATTCATGAGATCCATAGGACGACCATACAACGGAAACAGTTTCAAAAGTTTGTTTTTAAGTTATCAGCACATTCTATGCAAATCAGTTCCACAATATCCTACGGTATTCACCAACTCCCTGTCTGTAAAAGACCATATTGATCTCCAACCTAATATTAGCGTTCTTAAATGTGGAGCATCTAATTATGTAGCCCATTTTTCTTGGTGCAATACACAATGCATTCTGATGTTCATCGACTGCTGACTGGTTTTCCAATTTGGGGGAAAGCAAGGATCCATTAGTGTAATGCTGTTAAAGCTATTGCTATGAACTAAATTTTGAAGAAGTATAGATATGCCAAGGAAACTTCTTACTTATACTCTTCTGGAGAATCTTCTATCGTCTCCTTGGGGCAAACATTTAGGTAGAGTTCTTATCTCCTCTTTCCTTCTAGTGAAACCTTTTGATAGGATAAAGCTTAAAAGATCAATCCACAATTCTCAGTTATTTCACTGGATTCTTATTCTAATCAAACATGCTATGCTTTCAAAAATATCAAATGTGCAAGCACCATCATCCCGTAGTCATTCTATAATACCTTGAACCATGCTTGTCACGACAGACGATGGAAATAAATTTAACAACTCAAGATTTTAAAACACCAAATGTTATCGAAAATGGAAACAGTAGAAAAATGATGACCATCACCTTGGGTAATGAACAATCTGTCAACGATTCCGCCATAAACAAGAGCGCGAAGGAACTTCCAAGCGAGCTATGAAGAAGAGAAAGAAAAAGATAGAGAGATTCGTAGTTGCAGAGAGAGCGAGAGAGGGTTAAGGAGAAATTAAGGCGGTAATTAGGACAGAATTCAAGCAATCTAGCACTCCGTTTGGAAATTGTACTCGCCGCGCGCGTGCGTTAAAACGACTACGTATTGGGAGAAGGGTAGTGTGGGAAATTGACAAAGGATTTACCAAACTAAATTAACGGTCGGGAAACCCATATATTGCATTAAATTCACTCCATCAAACTTTAATTTTGTCACGTCCCGCTCCATTATTTCACACAGATCATGGTTATTCGACTTTATAAATGCTATCATTTTTTAAGATAAAACATGTCACGGTTAGCTGTCGAGATTTTTTAGCATGTTATCTATTGTTGTCAGCCTCACAATTTAAAAAACGTGACTGCTAGGGAGAGATTTCCACACCCTTACAAGAATTGTTTCGTTCTCCTCTCGAGAACCGATATGAGATCTCACAATCCACACTCGGGAGCTCAGTGTGCACCGCCGGATATCTAGCTCTGTTACAATTTGTAATAGCTCAAGCCTATTCGCTACCTATTTTGGAACGATTTTAAAAATATGTCTGGTGGGGATAGATTTCCATACCTTTTTAAGAAATGCTTCGTTACACTTGCTTATATCTTCGTCCTTTTCATGTTTGAGCTGAGCTGAAGAAGGATCAAATGAAAGAGAAAAGAACATAAATCAAAGAGTATAACATTCTAGTACATTGTCTGGACAACGCTCCAGACAACTTATTAAGACAGTACCATGAGAAACAAATGGTTGAGCTGTCTAAGCATAATCGCCCGGCTGAGCGGGAGGTGGAGGATTTGGCATATGGGGGAGGAGAGGAGCGCCGTGCTCTATGGGCCCAGGTTTTAGTGATGTCTTTGAACTTGGAACAGGATCAATGGGATGGTAGTCATCGAGATTTACACCACTTGGGTGAGCCTTCTTTTTGTTATGTTCATCAGCAGCCTGGAACTCAGAACCAACAAAAGGGTTTCAATTCCATTGATTAGAGACAATTGTGGGAATTGAAGGGTTTAGAAAGCAAGTACCTTCAGCTTCCTGTTTAATGGCATGTCGGAGAAGCATCCATTTGGGTTAACATGGTGGTGGTTCACAGCCATTTCTGCAATTCCAGTTAAGGAAAGCACACCAAAATGAACATGCAAAGTTACAGTAAGAACAGAGAAGAACAGAGAAGAACAGAGAAGAACAGGGGCTAGGAACAGTAGAAATTACCGGAGGCGGAGGAGGCATTTATATAGGTGGGAAAGGAAGGCAGGAATGAAGTTAATTGGAGCAGCAACAACACAGCCCAGAACCCAGAAAGATTCATAACGGACAGGACCCAGGATGAATCGAAGAGCTCCGAAACACACACACACACACACCCTGTTGTGCAAGGAGTGTTGGCGGGAGAAATGTTGGAAGGGGGGTCGTCCATGAGTACTCATGAGGGCTTTAAAACGAGGGTGGAAATATGGAATGGCATTTAATTGGAACAGAAGAGGAACAATAAAAGAAAAGAGGAGAACTTCAATGTTTTGTTTTATCATCATATCATCTGCATTGGGTTCCGGCTGTGGAGGAGTAAATGTCTGCTTCGCGTTTGCAGATAAAATTGTCCAATTTACAAATTTAAAATAGGCGTGGCAGAGACTTGGAATGCGAGCCGTCGGGAAAGAACAATTAAAATAAATTCAATAAAAAACAATCAAAATCATCATATGGGGGTGTAGCTCATATGGTAGAGCGCTCGCTTCGCATGCGAGAGGCACGGGGTTCGATTCCCCGCACCTCCACATTTTACTTTTTTTTTTTTTTTTTTATCATATAATGACATTTAGAAAAAATAGGATTAAAAAATATGTGCAAAAGATCTTGGATAACAAATAGGCCTCACCCATATATAGATATATTAAACAACTAAAACAAGTGTTAAATACACAAAAACAAATCATTTATACTCTTCAACTATATAGAGAGCAAGATCTACAAAAATACATACATCTCCTAACCCATCATTCCAATACTTCGTTCTCCCGCGGTGTCACATGAGGCGCAACTATTTACGACGTAGACGAAAGACGATTTACAGGTTAACATGGCCGGTTTGCTGATAGAAACATATGTCTCAGCTGTCTACACAAAACCACCCGGCTGAGGTTGATCTGGAGGAGAAGGATTTGGCATATAAGGTATAAGAGGAGAGCGATGCTCTATTGGTCCATGTTTTATGGATCTCTTTGAGCTTGGAACTGGATCGATGGGACTGTAGTCGTAAAGATTTACGTTATCGACACGAACGTTCTTCCTCCCCGGGCTACTATCATCGTTATCCTGCAACTGAAATTCAAAAACAGAATTCAATCATGAACTTTTACTTGGGAAGAATCCATGTTGTTCTTCTCTAAGTAAGAGATATGTTGGTAGGATTTCAACCCTTTACAGAGCAAGTACATACTTTCAACTTCTTGTTTGATGGTGTGGCTGACAGGCATTCATTTGACACTACATGGGGTTGGTTTGGAGTCATATCTGCAATTGTGCAGTCAGGGAAGGTGTATCAGCAGCATGGGAAATTACATATTTTGAAAATGTATACCACTCACGCTCAATAATGAAATCAATGATTCAAACATGTAGGGTGAGAAACCACGAGATGGAAACAAAATCGAATCATTTTTACAAGAGTGTGAAAACATCTCCCTAACAGTCACGTTTCAAAATCTTTAGGAGAAGCCCGAAAGGGAAAGACAAATAGTCCAAAGCTAGATACAGGGTGAACGAAGTGTTTCTTATAAGGGAGTGAAAATATTTATCTAACCGGTAAAAACCTTGAGGAGAAGCGGAAAACGAAAATAATATCTGCTACCGATGAGTTTTGACATGTAAATCGACAAATCCAAAAAGCTCAATATCTATATGGCCTGATACATGTAAATCGATTCAGTTCATTGGCCAATTTACAAGTTCTGAATTCAAAGGAAGAGTCTAAAATGGTGATGGGCAGTGGCAAACAAAATGGAAGACAAGGCTAATTCTACTTGAATGTATAATTGAGCATAACAATACCATCAATGTAAAAATGTCACCAAGAACATAGTGATTCAGATAAGAATCATACTATGAAGGTGATACCGACGGAAGGAGAGATTGAAGGCAACATCACAGCAGTTTTGGATAGAACAGAACGCTGAACAGAGGATTCTAATCTAAACCTTTTACAGTAAAACATAATAAGAATAAGAAGTGAAAGTGAGTAAAGTTGAGATAAACAGAGAAGCAAAGAAGAGAATTACCTGAACTTGAGGAGGAACAGATACTGCTGGAAAAGAAAGGCAGCAATAGAGAAGTGTGGAGCACAAAGAGCATGACCAAGAGCCTACAAAGCTTCATAATGTCCTCTTATTATAGCCGCCGCAACCAACAAGAGAAGATGAGTCCAAGTAACCAAAGCTCCAAATTGAGAAGAGAGTATTTTTCTGGGGGAAGGCCTTCAAATGAAAACTGGTTGTCGGAAGAACAATGGAGATGAGATTAAAAGCAGGAGAATCTTTTAAAATTGGAAGAATGTCATGTGGCAGGGTGGTCGGCCGGATACAGAATGTATGGAGTTAATGTCTCTGCGGTGAACGACAAACAAATTTAAATGAACCACACAGCTCGGAATGCGAGCCGGCGGCCACGTTTCGCTATTAAATCATTTCCATTGCTACAGGCACGGAGTTCAATTTCATTTTTTTCGATTAAAACATCGAATAATATATATACCATAATGTTGTTGGTAACACTAACACCGTGATACCAAAAAAATAATAATAAATAAAAAATAATCATCTAATTATCCCTCATCATCATTTATTCAAAATAAATCTCTAAATATAATAGTTGCAGAAAAACCATCCCAAACGTTCAATTCAATCAATAACCCTTGAAAATGACAAAATTGTTATAGTAAAACAACATATAAAATCAATATTAATATTATAATTATTAAGATTTTAAATACTTTAGAAAATAGAAGTATGAAAACGAAAAATAAGGTGGAAATGATTGAATCTCTCCCAATCCGTATGCTTGAATCAATTGTTCATGTCAGCTCTGGTTAGGAGTAGAGATCAAGAAGGCGAGAGGAAGAAGAAATGGAGGCAATGGCTAAACGAATCATATGAAAGCATGAGATGAAATTATATGAGACAAACACCAAAATCCAGTTTATCAAATTTCAATCTCTTTTATTGTTGCCTGATTGATTTACAACAAATATGACCCAAATTCATGGTGTTCATCTTGGATTTACCAAGAAGAATATGCTGACCGTGAGATGATTGTTCAGAATCTGCAGCCAATGCATGGAGCAGATCGAGCCCACCAAAAGATATTCCAGATTGGTCTCTTCTTTCGACGTCGTCCTTCCGGGATTCCGACTGCCTCCGTTTCGTTTCTCTTCAGCATCTCCCACATCACGTGCACGTCCTCGTATTCGCACGCCTTCACATCTCGCCCTAGTTTCAGAAGCCCTAATCCATTTCAACATCCCCAAGCATGAATTTCAATTTCTCAAGTGTTTTTAGGAAAACAGAACAAACAACAGAATCAGTTCATTTTCATTGAGAATTCGAATTATATAAAACGATTCAGTGAAGAAATCACGCACCGCGTTTGCGATATCCGAGACGAGAGGCGACACGGGAGGTAAATCTTCGCAGGGGAGAAGCTACCTTGATCCACCATTCCATTTTCGAGTGCTCCAGCGAGAGAAGAGACGTTAAGATCTCAAATCTGAAGCAACAGAAAAATCACTTGAAACACGAACGAAAACCAGACGGATTTGCTTCAAAATTCTAAACACCGAAAACAAAATCAAGAGAAATATAAAAATGGAAACAGATTGAAAGATTCCGAGGAAGTAGAAGCCAATTACTTCAGCAAAACTGCTCTCGTCTCCCACCTCAAAAGAGAATCGTTGGCAACAATGGAACGTAATTCGAAACATCAACCGCGTTCCGGCCAATCTCATCTACCAGTGGTAAGACTTGTTTCTCGAGATCGACCACTCACGGATTCCAATGCGACCGTTGGTTTGATGGATCCTGACGGTCTCTTTAATTCCGACTTTGGCCTTTCTCTCACGACGTGGCAACTTTTCATTGGCCATTCAAATTCTTTTCAAAATTACACACCTTCTATTGCTTCGTGGATCACACGTTCTCTCCTCCCCGTTACCTTCGTGAATTCAGGCCTTTGGCGTTAAAATTGGAGGGCGCGTGATTCTTAAGCTCCTTCTAAGCGTTCGCGCTTGATTTTGTAGAGTGGGTCCCGGGTAGTTCTCGTGTACTCAGGAAAAATGCAACTACGTGGCACTCACTCTGGAAGCTTACTGAATATATTATTTTTTATTTATTCCCTAAATGTAGGCTTTAAATAATTTAAAATAAAGTGTGGGATTTAATTTTTTTCATATATATTTATATTTTAGGATCTACAAGTTGGTCCCGTGTGTTAGGTGAATATGACTTTCCACAATAACATGATATTGTCCATTTTAACATAAGTTCTAATTGATTTGCTTTGGACTTCCCAAAAGATCTCGTACAGACTATTTTTTAATATAAATTCCCAAAATGTCTCATACAGATAGAGTATTCTGTAATTATAAATCTATGATCAATTCTCTAAATTAGCCTGACTTACATCATCCAACACACTTAAATACCCAAAAAAAAAAAAAAAAAAAAAAGTGGTATGTCGGGTTCCATCCAAAACGGCATCAAAAGGATTTGCTCTCAAATTCTATTCCCATACATATAACCATCATTGAGGATCGATCTGAGTCAAGAGTTAAGGTTTGTACGTGGATGTGAGGTCACACGTCAATTGAGGAGACGAACGAAACATTTGTTATAAGGGTGTGGAAACCTCCCTAGTGAAGGCGATATATGCTAGCGGTAAACTTAGTACCCACCCAATGAGGGAACGGCTACCAACCCCCTTTGTGTTTTTGACAGGATGTATGTAGAGGAGTCCTGCCACGGCTAATTCAAGTTTCCACAGAGGAAGTAATCATCAATCTCAACGAGCTTGAAGAACATTGAAGAGGAAACTGTGGTTTGTGACAAGAATCGAACAATTAGACAGCCAGTAATCTAACAACATTCTAAAGATTATTAGTTTATTGAGTGAAAAGCATAAAACAAACTGAAATCATTCCCTTAGCTGGAACACTATGAATCACGAAGAACTCGTCACTAAGATACCAAGAAACTATATAAACAAGCCAACAGTTATTGTAAAACCAGGGCAACCCAAACCAAACAGATTCCAGAAATGAAAATCAGTACGAGAAGATTGATATTTATGGACATTACTCGCCAATCAGGGCACGATTTTGAAAGCCTTAACCTTGTCGATCCAAGAAATGAAGGAGTTCTTGGAGTTTCTGAAGCCCAAGAATCCATGCTCCTTGCTCTTGTTCATACTATCTATGTTACCAGAAGCGCTCAAAGCTATATCTGTATGCCACCAATTAGCAACATCCTCCAATTTTGTTGGTTGCAACTGATTCTCCTTCACAATTTCTTCCCACACTTCATTTTTCCCCTTCATCAACTCTCCCAGCGGCAATCTCTCACCCTCTTCGAACCCATAATCCTCGATGTTGAACTGCTCCGCCAAAACCTTCCAGAAGTGTTTCCACTTGAATACATCGCCATTGCTGCAGTTAAACGCCTCGTTCTTTGCGTATGGATCCACCGCTGTCCATATGTGCTGCTCCGCTATCAGATCTGCGTCGGAGACCACTGAGTAACCCTCCCAAGCTGATTTCGTGCCGGGGAATTTCAACGGACGTCCCTCGTGCTTGCATATGGCGGCGTACGTGCATAGGGTTCCGACGATGTTCATCAAGCTGAAAGGGGAAAACCCGAAGATCGTGTTGGGTCGGATCACCGCCCATGTCAGATCCTTTTTCTGACTCTTTTCGATCTCTTCGAACAACAAATCTTCTTGAGTGTAATAGAAATTTGGGGAATCCAATCGAGGCATATCCTCCGTGAAAGGCGGATCGTGCCGATGCGACGGATTATCGATGATGTTCTCGAACGATCCGATGTAGTGCTTCGTACCTGTTTGAAGGCAGATATGGCGGAGATTTGGCGCGTTCGGAATCACCGATCGCAACACGTTGCGAAGCATTTTGCCGTTGACATCACAGTTCTCGATCTCTGTGGGTAGATTGGTCCATGTAACATAGAACACATGAGTCACATCAGTGAGCTTCGAGAGTTTGGCTTCGGCGTCTTCCGGATCGGAGACATCGCATTGGATGTATTCGATGGGATGGTCGGCGTTCCAGTTTGGCCGCGGCCTCCGAGCGACGCCGTACACCTTCCACGGACCGCCGGGAGTGTCGGAAAGAGGGAGAATCTCGGCAAGGCTGTTGCCGACGATGCCTGTAATGCCGATCACCAATGCTACGCTCTCAAAGCTCCTCGGTTGTTCATCTTCTTCAAATTTCTTCTGCAAAATTGGGAACAGAGATGCTGAATAGAGAAACGTAATAGAAACTGGGGCATAGATAGGGAGCTAGGGGTGTTAATTACCTTAGCAGCGCCGATTGCTCCGGCCCACCACCAGCTCATTTTCCGTCGGGGAATCGGAGATAGGTTTTGGGGAATTAGGGAGGAGGGGAAGAAGCGAAACAGAGATTGAAGTGGAATTGAATCGTGTGTTGAAAGGATTATAAGGTGATGATGTTACAGATCGTTGTTGTCTTGTGGATTACAGAGGAAACGCCAACCATGACGCGAGCTGTGAAAGGATAAACATTCAACTCGAACCGCTGGACTCCCGACTGGATTTTCTTACGTAACTGTCTACCAAGACCGGAAACGAATGTTTATGGAAGGTAATTACTTCCTTTTTTTAAAAAAAAATTAGATATATATTTTTTATCATTTAGATTAATAAAGCTTTTAAGCATAGGATAAAAGTTAAAGTTGATTGACATTACATATCAAAAAAATCAAATCTTCACCTAAAATTGTTGAAATTAAGAAAAATAATATAGTTTAATTAATTAATAAATATTTCAATCTCAAGAATGTCTCAGACATTTAAAAGAAATTGTTGAAATTTGTTTGTCTTATTTAATTATGAAAGTTAATTTAATTTTGAAAAAGAATAATTAATAGTTAGTTAATTTAAATATCCCCTGAATAATTAATTATAATAATTAGGAACAACATTTTATATTTAATTAATATTAATTGTAATTATTTATTCCATAATGGGTGGTTGAGTTAGATTTTGAAATTAATAGTAACAATATTAGTGAATTAATAAAAATCAATATCAATTAGTAGAAATAAATTGATTGATTAATTATTGAAAATGAATAAATATACTAAATACTAATAAAGATTTAACCCATTAAACACCATACAAACTCGAAAACTCTCCTGCTAAATTTATAATTTAACATTTTTTATAAACTAAGATTGTTTTTAGAAGAGATTATTGTATTTGTTGATTGAATCTGATACATCTGTTCCACAAAATGCAAAGTTTATAAAAAAAAATTGAGAGAAGCATCACAAGAAAACATAGGAGGTAAGAGACATGAAGATCATTAGAAACATAAATTCCTTCAACCTGAAACAAAATTGGCACAAACAGTAATGTTTCCAAGATGTCAGTTGTAGCATAATCTTGATAAACAAAATATTCCCATTATTTAAGATTGAAAACTTAGACATATAATGCTCCCTTCTGTAAGGTTGAACTTTCAGTATATTCCTTGAAAAAACAAGAGCACGAGATCATTTACATTCACTGATACTCTATACTCTTAACATTGCAAGAGCAAGAACGATGGTGACGATCGAAAGGGATCTCTTTTTCTTGGGTTTAAAAAACAAGGAGGCTGAATATAAAACCCGAGTCGGGAGAGAGCGAGTCGCTCAATCACCAGACAAAATGTGTGAGAATGACTATTGATCTATTTACAATTGCCGCGTAAAATAGACCACAAGTTCTACTACATTGGATTTGAATCCGCTTCTAAATAGTTAGTACTGTTAATAATGCACTTACCTTGCAAAGCAGTGTAGTTGCTGGTTCAGATATCTGGTTTCCAGATAACTTTCACCTTCCCATCGTGATTCTTCTCGAGTGCGGCGACTTTGGCCCGATGAACTGCTGCTGCCATAGCATTCTTGAAGCCATGACCTCGAGGTAAATCGCAGGCCTCGCTCATGGAAGCATATCTAAGTTCAGCAGGGGGAATGAAACAATCAATAGACAGACCAGGGACATTAAATGCTACTTCCTCAATAGTCCAAGCTTCTTCCATTCTCGTTTTTGTGTGGCTCATGGCTGTTTCCCCAAATCTGAAAAGGGTCACTACAGATCTACCAGAGTGAGCAATCATGATCCCCTCTACTGGTCGATAATCATCGAGGAATGAATTGATCGTGGTCTCCCAATAGACAGCATCGCCCCCATTGTTTTGGATGCGGGTTAAATGTGAATCTTCTAAATGTATAAGGAGTCCTGATTTCTGGCTGAAGTATCCGAACATAGTGTGTCTGATTATCTCTGCAGGTCCTTCACTTCTTGCCTTCAATGTTGAAGGATCTGTACAGAGCTTGAGGATGAAACAATCTTCACCATTAACGCTCTTCTCTCCAATGCATCTTGCATTAGCAAACATGCTTGCAGTAGTTTTTGGATCAAGTCCCTGCAGCACATAATGAACTTGGTAAACGAATCTAAAATGAGAGAGCCAGATTCACAAAATAGAGTGAGATCTGTCAAGTTGAGCTGTGCCACCTGAAGGGCACGGCGAAGCGGTCTAACAGGCCCTTTGGCAGCATGAGCGCCGAGCCAAGGTGTGTGCCTCCACACCAGCTTCCCATTGCAACCAGCATGAACTTTGCTACCACCCAGAGCAAGCTCAACATACCACATATCTGGCTTCATCTGCCACAAAACAAAGCCGCCTGACTCTGCATCTTTGGAGGAATTCCGGGTCCTGACCACTTTGTTAGCTGTTTCAAATTCACATGCTATCATTTTCACCTTTCCCATGGCATA